CTATCGATTTATTGATTGGTTTACTGAAATCCAAAAGATTGAAAACTTTTCATGCTTCAACCGATCATTTTTCCATAAACATGTAAGCACGGGCGGTAGAGTCCATTTCTATCCCAAAGTCGGGAGGATGCGGAAAGTGGTCTAAAAGCGCTTTTTGCGCATGTTCGAAGAAGCTTAGAAGCGTAAGTTCACATATTTTGTTAGCTAAACTAGGTTGGAGCCTCGGGTGAGGCCGGAGCTGTCAGCTAGCTATAAGTAATGATGGTGGTTTAATAAGCCTGTCGCGACTTTCACAGAAGAGGAGATTCCAAATAAACAATTCCTTATCAAGTGATTAATGCATTTCTTTGCGGTTTTCTGTGGCTTCACCCTAAGATGTGCAAGAATAACATCTCCATTTTCATCTGTTCATACTATTGCTGCTCTTGTTTACTAATTCCCATCTCTACATACAATGCAGTTCAGTGACAACGAGCAATTATACTTTTTGATTAACGTTGTGGACATAAAAACAACCAGCTAGTGTTGCTTCTTTTGCTGTATTCCAGTCTTGCAAAAAAAATCTTACCAAAACTGAGAGAAGCTTTGCATGTCATTTGCTTAGAGATGTATAATACAGGGTGTCCCAAAAAATTGTGCACACTGTTTGATCGTTAATAACTTCCTTGCTTTGGAGTCTTTCGCCGATCTTTAGGTGCCGTTGTGTACACGGCTCGGCACAGGTGGCTTGTAAGCCAGCTGGTATCGTTTTTTGGGACGAAAAGCAAAGGGGGTTTCGTTTTTTGTGACCGAAGAGACACGGAAAATTGGCGACGGCGACCTTTTTTTTAGTCGACGTTTCGTGTTTTGGGGGATTTTGGGGAATTTTTCAGGTTTTCAGAGGAAATTTGGTTGAGGGTCAAAGGGGACTTCGTAAAAATTCCCAAAAGTCAAGGGAGACTTCGTTTTTTCCATTTTCATCTAGCCACCTCGTGCCGAGCCCTGGTTGTGTAGAGTGAGGTTCAACTTAGATTTAAGTATGGAGCGAATCAACGATCGCTCTTCGTTACTGTAGGATTACGGTAAGAACTTCCGGCACATGGAACTGATTGTGAAATATACCATTTGACAAAATTAAAAATCTGAAAAATCGTGTGCTACGGTTTTCACGCGGACTGCTTCCACTACACAACCTTTTACGAGTGTTTTCAGCTTTTTGTAATCACATTTCTGGCACATGCAAAGAATTACGGCTGCATGGGATAAATTTGACAAAAAGCATCAGTCAAGTGAAATCTCCTCTTCTGTGAAAGTCGCGACAGGCTTATCAAACCATCATCATTACTTATAACTAGCTGACAGCTCCGGCCTCACCCGAGGCTCCAATCTAGTTTAGCTAAAATATGTGAACTTACGCTTCTAAAGCGGCAACTCAGTTAAACATATGGTTAATAGACAAGTTATTATACATTAGTTATTACCTAAGTTACTACTTATTATGTTGACTCAAATGCTCTAACGTTTTCTTGCACGAAGCGCGCGCAATCTGCATGCAGGGTTGAAGCAAACATATTGGCTTGTTACAGCGCAAAAACAAGTATAGGCCGTAAAAACCAGACGGCGTCGCGCGCGGCAGCTTTTGACGATGTGCAACGCGATGCGAACTCTGCTCCGCACAAGGTAGCTCTGGCAATTTTTTGGATACGAAATCCGCGCTGACTTCGAAACAACAATACGTCGGCGTTCCCTATAGCACCTCATGAGTGACTTGAACATGAAAAATGAGGGGAAATAGAACAACGTACAAAAAATAAGTAAACAGGCTATGAAAAAACTAATTTTGGTTCGCTTTCTCCAAATAGGCGGCGGGCTGTGTTGGGCGCGTAGCATCGAGTGATTGGAGCAGGAGCCGCCATTCAAAATATTTGGAAGGCTGTAACTAAGCGGGGAGTGGCAGGAGCTTAGGGAAGTTCATGAGCTAATTTGTATTGTTTGAATTTAGATTGAAGTTATGTAAAGAGTGTGTGAGAAATTCAGGCGGGAATAAAGGAAATTTATAAGTTTTCTTGAGGCACCTCAGGTGGCTCTCGAAGTGGCTCGGAAGCAACCTAATTCCGAAATTTGTCACGTCTTCAGTTCACATAACTTTTTCACAATTTTTCATAGATAATACTTTGTTCTTTCTTTCTGAGCCATACTCGAGATTGGTAACTTATTTATTCACTCCACGGCTAACGTTTCGGCAAATCGCCCTCGTCAGAGCCTGTAAGGAACAAAACGATTTGCAGCCGATTCGGAAAAGTATCTTTACAGCTGAACAGATGAAGCGCTGAACCTTGCTTTCGATCACTAATTCAGCTGCACGCACAAGCACGACGATACTTCCCTATCAAAGAAAAATTCGGAGGTTTACGTCGTCCACTGCTGGAGAAAGTTGGACTTGTTAGACGTGTATGCAGACTGCTCTTTATATACTGTTAGATCATAATAACTGGCCTAGATAAGGTGAGAGCATGCGTTTGCTAGGTTTTCCTCTTTTCGATTCATTTTTGGGTTCTTTGCGTGAATCAAAAATGCTTCCAGACACTTACGTGCCTGTGTTTGGGATTCATGTGCTAAGATTCTCACCGAAATTCCAAAGTTTGAGCCTGCATGTTGCAGCACTCTGTGGGTGCCTAGGGGTGTCGTTGTAGTGCTTTATCTCTGCCGTCTAAATGTTCTTTAATGCGGATACATAGTGGTCGTGCCGTTTCACCTATGTTTGCGATCATACATGCGATTGCGAACTAAAATGGTTTTTAAGTTAATTGGTGGTAGTTCTACAATCGTAGGCAGATTTTCAAATCCTACTCGCTTCAAGCAATGATGTGCTTACTTCTTTCGATATGTATGGGACGCAAAGCGTAACTTTTTTGACAACATGAGGGTTAGCTATCTATACGCGATCTTTATCACTCCTCTTTGTTGTTCCTGCATGATGTTTGTATCCGTTAGAAACCGCCATACTACGGGCAATCGTTATCGATTCCGCCTTCTCTTTCGGACCACTGCAGACTTGAGAAGCAGTGCGCAACAGGTTGTTAATAATTGCCCTCTTTGTCCATGGTGGGTGAGCCGATAGCGAGTGAACAAGAATGTTTTTGTTACTAGGCTTACGGTACCATTTTGTAACGTGCACACCAGAAGTGATATTAACCTGCACATTTAAGAATGGTAACCAGTGATCTTTCGGCTTTTCTCTTGTTAGCTGTATGTATTGAGATTGCTCATTCAACAATTTGAAACATTTGTCCATTTCTTCTTGAGAGGCACAGACTATGAAGCAATCGTCAATATAGCGGCAGTATAATAAAAACGCATAAGCTCAATTCCGACCAAAATTTGGCCTCTATTAGTCCTTCTGATTTCAAGGTGAGACCAATCATAAGTTGCATAGGAGGACCAACGGATAGAATTGGGTGGTTCATTACATTAATACTCATCTGTAAAGATACTTGTTCGAATCGGCTGCAAATCGTTTTGTTCCTTACAGGCTCTGACGAAGGCGATTTGCCGAAACGTTAGCCGTGGAGTGAATAAATAAGTTACTAATCTCGAGTATGGCTCAGAAAGAAAGAACAAAGTATTATCTATGAAAAATTGTGAAAAAGTTATGTGAACTGAAGACGTGACAAATTTCGGAATTAGGTTGCTTCCGAGCCACTTCGAGAGCCACCTGAGGTGCCTCAAGAAAACTTATAAATTTCCTTTATTCCCGCCTGAATTTCTCACACACTCTTTACATAACTTCAATCTAAATTCAAACAATACAAATTAGCTCATGAACTTCTCTAAGCTCCTGCCACTCCCCGCTTAGTTACAGCCTTCCAAATATTTTGAATGGCGGCTCCTGCTCCAATTACTCGATGCTACGCGCCCAACACAGCCCGCCGCCTATTTGGAGAAAGCGAACCAAAATTAGCTTTTTCATAGCCTGTTTACTTATTTTTTGTACGTTGTTCTATTTCCCCTCATTTTTCATGTTCAAGTCACTCATGAGGTGCTATAGGGAACGCCGACGTATTGTTGTTTCGAAGTCAGCGCGGATTTCGTATCCAAAAAATTGCCAGAGCTACCTTGTGCGCCCTGCTTGGAACGCATGTGGATAAAGAAAAAAAGAAGCAGGAGCACTTACATCTAATCATTCTCGACTTTATTTACCTAGCACCTAGTGATCAAAGATTTGCAAATGAACAAAGTAGGCGTTCACATTAATCGGTTCTATTATGGAGTGTTGCACATTATACTCTATATATATCCTCTGATACTTTATACATGAAAACCAAATTTGGTGTCATATACAGGGCTCGGCACGAGGTACTAGTTGGGAATGCAAAAAACGAAGTCCCCCTTGAGTTTTGCGTATTTTTACGAGTCCCCTTTGACCCTAGAACATAATCCTTAACAAATCCACAAAAAACGAAACGTCGACCAAAAAACGTCGCAATTGTGTTTTCGCGAAAAGAAAACCGCCCTTGCTTTTTGTCCCAAAAACAATATCCAGCTTGCTTATGAGCAATCTGTGCCGAGTCCTGGTCATATATGTATAAGCTGTAACCAGTATCGGTCCCGCGCGGGTTGCTTCACGAGGAGGCAACGCGTGCATTGACGCGTAGCAGAGTTCGAATCGCGTTGCACATCGTCAAAAGCTGCCGCGCGCGACGCCGTCTGGTTTTTACGGCCTATACTTGTTTTTGCGCTGTAACAAGCCAATATGTTTGCTTCAACCCTGCATGCAGATTGCGCGCGCTTCGTGCAAGAAAACGTTAGAGCATTTGAGTCAACATAATAAGTAGTAACTTAGGTAATAACTAATGTAATAACTTGTCTATTAACCATATGTTTAACTGAGTTGCCGCTAATAAGCTTAGCATGTTTCACGTTCCCTTGCTTTTTTTGGGGAAATAACTTAGCTGCTTCTACAATTTCTGCGTTGAGCCTCAAGCGGAATACTGAAACTAGAGCTCTCTGCCATCTCCAAACATATTATAATTTCATATCTCTGTTTTTCTAACGAAAACGAGCGTTAACATTCATGTGGTGTCTATTTTGTGCCTACTTTAAAATATGTTTCGTAGAAAAAGGTTAGCAAATTAGCTACACAAAAAATGAGCTAATGCAAAATTCGCTAAAACTCCATATCATTTCTGCACAACTGCTGTCATTTAAACAGCTATCTCTTTCATATCATGGAATTTCATGGGGCTATTGTCGAAAAACGATGGTCTAGGAGTATCTCGTCTTTTTCCAGTTTATCCTGAAAAAGTGAATTTGCACTTGTTAATAGGTCAAAACGATTTATTTACCGCAATGCGATGTTCCAGATTCTTAAACTCCTTCTTCTCAGCGTCGTTTAAAGTGTTGGGTAGATTGTCCTTTAAAAAAAGGCGCCATTAAAGCAGGGAGAACATAGCTAATTAATTCTTCCACTATGAGTGCCGTTTCAGAAGTTTAAAAACAAAAAATGACTGGGCAAGCACTTCGAAAACTTTTTAAATTCAAAAACGCAGTTTTTATTTTCTCTTCGTTATGCTTTCACAGGTTACTTATTTGCAAAAATAAATCCAGGATTTTCACCATGCTCAAGTTTGGCAAATTTTCAGTTTTTCTATTCTGAACTTGAACTTTCATTAGAGTTTCGATAGCAAACGATAGTTCAAATAAGGTGCAACACCACAAACTTTTTTTGGTGTCTCCAGCTGGTTTTTTAGAATTACGAAGATTATTCGTGTGGTGGTAACAGGTTCCAAATCTGATCAAGCCAAACCTCACAGAACATCAATGACAAGCAGCTCCTGTTGCGTCCGATGCAGCTTTTTCTCTTCTTTCCGACAGGCATTTTTCCTTCCCAATTTGTGAACTTTCGGGAATAAAATCATCTTAAAACGTTGACGACGAACAATTTTTTTGGTGGCTGTCCTTGTGGACGAGCCGTTTCCCAGTATTTTTACGCCTGGCTGCATGTACGTAAGCATGCAACTATGCGTGAAGAACAAAGTTAAGTCACAAGAGGGCGGGGCAGCTCCGCTCCCTTGGGACAAGCACGCCCACTCGACAAAAAATGCTGAATTTTGCACGAATTTCAAGAATTCGTGCGAATTTCTGCAATTCTGAGAAATGGGCGGAGCTCGCCACCGAAAGACGGGGCACTAATATTGGGCGGTACCTAGGCTGAAGTCGTTTGAGGTTTGGCGAGCGATCATTTATGGCCTCTTCTTCTTTGAGGACGAAAAAGCTCTTTGCAGAAGGCAACGGAGTGGGCGGAGCCTGCTAAAATAAGGGCGGGGCCAACACGAAATACCCCTCAGCCTAAAGCGACCATATGAACACAAATTAGAACGACTGGATACCTCAAAACTGGAATATGAGGTGCCGCGCACCATTGCGGGACGAGGTCGTCAACATGTTAATTGGGAATTTTTGGGCTCGACTATAGCCATACCCAAATTTTTATATTGATATTTTGATATATATATTTTGATATCTCGGCGGTGAACGCTCACTGCTTTATAAAAATTAGTATCCATGCGAGCTGAAACACTTGAATTCCGAAGATTTCTCAGTATTTGATGCATTCCTGTATCTACTTTGCAAAAGTAAAGACTTTTGGGAAAACCATCTTGAAAGTACTGAAAAGTAGTCGGAGATGACCAAAAATTCGTTGTATTGCACTTTGTTTACTCAATCAGCCTGTTACCACACTTCTTCCAAAGGTTGAAACCGAAAATTTTGAGAAATTGTCGAATTTGAGTGTGGCAAAAACCATGGGCTCAAAATTGTGACGATTATCTTAGTGACCTCAAAATGGTTTGAAAACATGACTGTTGAAGAGAGGAAAAAGAAAAGCTGCGTCGGATAGTCTTTGAAGTAAGTTTCTAGTTTCCTCTTTTGTTAACCTCGGCATATTTCGATGTGTTAGTAGGTTAGTAGGTTAGTAAGCCAAGCGAGGTTAGTACTTTATTAGTTAGTGGCGGCCTGACGTTTCGACTGGATCGTCTTCTTCAGAGGCCTAAAGTGGTAAGAGATCAATGATTTTATGCCTTACCCCACCAGAAACCTCTCCATCCTGGCTAGCCTCGACTTCACCCCCGAATGCTACAAACGAAAATACGCAGAAACGTGAAAGACGAACCAACCTCCTCCGCCGCTGCCGCGTAGATGTTGAATGCGGCCGTCCTCGAGTGCCACTAGTACTAATAGTGAAATATGGTCATACCGTGTTGACACTAATCACTAGCGGCATTCTTCAACTCACATAATTCCAAGAAAGGCATAATTCTTCAACTCACATAGTTCCAAGAAAGGCATAAAGTCATTCGTGATTGACGCACACTCATTTCGGCTGTTCATGCATGGATTTCTTGCGAAAATCCAGAATGCCTCGAGAGCTTTTCTACTAGCAGTGTCATACTCGTGTGCCAGTATAGTACATCTGATTTCGAAGTCCTTACCACAGTGGAATTCAACTCTGTGTTTACCGAGCGGTGTGGTAAGACTTCCCCGTCTCTTGCTGGCAAGATGTTCTTTCATTCTTACCCATAACGGTCTCCCAGTCTCTCCGATATAAGTGGCGCTGCACTCAATACATTTGATCTCATATATCACACCGGTCTTACCGCAGTCACCAACTTTACCGGATGGACAAACTACACAGTCTTGGATTCTGCAGTAGTTGTCGTAAAGTCTGTTACGTACTAACCGCTTCCTGATGTTATCACTTGGAATGTCAATCAAAATGACATCGTTTTCGAGGTTCGCGTGTTTAATGCATCGTCGCACTATAGCACTAGTCGCGTCAGAAACGAAAGGAAGACAGAGAGGTAATTTCCGTTGGTGCTGGTTGCTATCAGGGCTCGGCACGAGGTGGCTTACAAGCAAGCTGGGTATCGTTTTTGGGACGAAAAGCAAAGGGGGTTTCGTTTTTGTGACCGAAGAGACACGGAAAATTGGCGACGGCGACCTTTTTTTTTAGTCGACGTTTCGTTTTTTGGGGGATTTTGGGGAATTTTTCAGGTTTTTAGAGGAAATTTGGTTGAGGGTCAAAGGGGACTTCGTAAAAATTCCCAAAAGTCAAGGGGGACTTCGTTTTTTCCATTTTCATCTAGCCACCTCGTGCCGAGCCCTGGTTGCTATTGATGGAAATAGATGGTCTATCACGTCCATCTCGAAACGTGTAGCCATTCATTCGAGCAATATCCAGCGCCCATCTCTGCGACTCCTTCCGTTCTTCTTCTCGTGTGCATACGTTCGTTGCTGTTTTGAGCATGTTACGGATAACAGCTCTTTTAACAATGGTCGGATGTGCGGAGCGAGCATTAACCAAGATATTCTTGGAACTCTCTTTGCGATACCATTTCACATTCGCAGCGCCGTTGGACAATTTGATTTGTACGTTGAGATAAGGAAGCCAACCATTTTTCGGTTGCTGCCGTGTAAACCTTATGTACTGTGACTGTTGGTTGAGTAATCGGAAACACTCATCCATTTCGGATTGTGTTGATGTTATAACGCAACAGTCGTCTATATAACGACAGTACATTAGAGGTAAACGCGACAGCACTGGCTCTTCTATTCTACTCATAAAGCAGATCGCGAGCACTGGAGCAAGTCTTTGTCCCATCGCAAGACCTCTCAGCTGAGTATAGTATGTTCCTGACCACTTGAAGATGTTACAAGAAAGGCATTCTTTGATCAGGAGCATAATCGATCGTTTACTCAGCCCAAAAGTCTGGATCTTCTCACCAAAGGAGTCCAACATTTTCGAAACTGCCTGTAAAGCATCGTCATTCTGAACATTCGTGTACAATGACACGACGTCAAACGACTCTGCTACACACTGCGCTTGCAAAGTAGTGTTGTGAAGGCGTTCCAAGAAATGATTCCTGTTAGTACTCTGCGTTGATACCACTGCTT